GCTTCGATATACCCCGGGTTTAGCAGGAGCGGGGCGAGGACGCTTGACGCCGCCGTCCTTGAAATCTGTATCCGCGCACTCCGCTAAGATGCGCTCGTGTGAATCCGTTAGAGGAGTGTACTCAGTGAACCTCCCCGGGGGTCCTCTTTGTTCTCGAGTGTCTCAGGGTTTGTCGTCCCTTCTCTTCTCGCCAGTTTGTCGAGGAGGGGCAGTGTCTTATCGCGGATAACTGGTAGATCCATGATTCCTGGGATCCCGGGCTCTGTTGGCCGCTTTTCTCTCCTCGTAGTCCATGTAGGAACTGGCTTTCTCGAGGAGGGCATCGAATGTACGGGGTGGTTCGATGCCTACGGCCTTTCTGAATTCTGTGCCTGGGAGGAGTCCCCTCTCGAGCAGGTATCTCTTTATGTGATCGATACAGGGGACCTGGATGGCCTCCCGGTTGAACCGATCAATAAATTCCCTCAGGGTCTCATCGTGTCTCTGGACGATGGCCTCGAGGGTTGCTTCAGTCTTCGGGTGGCGTCGCGAAGCAGTGAATGAACTGATGAATTGGTTCTTCAGATTTTGCCAAGAGGTAATTGACCCCGGGAAGAGACCTTTGTACCAGTCCATCTCAGCTTTCCTCAGAATCATGGGGAACAACCGACATTTGATTGGTCCCTCGATATTGTGATAATGTAGCATGGCCTTAAACCCGTCTATATGGTCGACCGGGTCGGTGATGCCGTCGTATTCCTTTATATGGGAAGGCTTCTCCATGCCCGGGGGAATGGGTGCCTCCATGATAGCTTGTGACAAGGGACCGCGAGGGTCGTCCTTGTCACTCCGTTCGGGCGAGTGACGGAGATCTGACGTAGTGGCGGTTATGGTGGCCCTGGTTGCGCAGAGCGTTCCTCGAGTGGTACAGACGCTCGTTGTTCCCCCGTTTCTGTCTCCAGGGGGTCTTCGTTCTTGACGCGAGGGGCCGTGATCGCGTTTTCCCGTATCAATGGGCTGGTCCCTCTCTAATTCGGGGCGTCGCCTAATTGGTCGAGGAGAAGGGCTTCGAGAGATGTCCCGACTACATCTCCGCGGGGGAGATTGGAGACGTTTCTCTGCTTGTCGAGGAGGAGAAGATTGATGTCTCCTGTGTATTCTTGGGGCTCTCCAATCGTCTTCGAGCACCCTCAATCTTTCTCCCTGAGCGAAGATCAGGTAGTTGGTCTAATTTATCGCCGCGAACAGTGCCTTGGTCGTGGCGTCTGCCCCGGCGGGAACGGGGACCTCATGGAACTGAACGTGTTGGTAGTTCTTGGGAGGTGGCCGATCATCTTCGAGTCGTGGAGGCAGTGATGATGACGAAGCAGTTGCTCCATCTTTATAGTCATAATGCCCGGGCATATTAATGGCGGAGGGTTGTATTGTGGCCGGCGGTACCGGCATTGTCGAGGCCGGCATTGTTGTCGAAAATGTTATTGTTGACGTTGATGATATGGACGTTCATGTTTTCTGGAGTCTGGTCAGCCATGACAGTCGAAGATTATTTAGCTTTGGTCTTAAGTAAATAGAAGACGGGGAAGCAACATTCCCACAGACAACGCCATTGATCTTACCGAATCAGAGATGAACCATCACAGCTAGCTCGGGCAGAAGTTGAATGAGATGGGGGAGGGTACCTGCAAGACACTCCGATGGCAAAGTAAGTTGCGAAATGAGCAAGCAAGTATGAGTTCAGAGAAAGATGTTGAATACCCGACCCTCTCGGAAGAGAGGGTATTTATAGCCCCCAGCGCTGGGCCAATGTCTCTTATTGGGCTGATCAAACAGGTCCAACATAGAGACTGTCAGGTTCTACGTGAGTAGTGGGGACCCGCATGTGCCCCCCTACCTGGATGACGTCCTCCACAAGACCAGGAGGATATGGACGCGATCTTTCTGGGACCACGAAGACTCCTCAATATCCGGAGAGGTTGGAAGTCAGCCCTACGAGGAAGGTGCTCGGGAGAAGCGCCTGCTCGTCAGGGATGGTCCCCGCTAGCACCAACGGGAAACAGTCTTGGTCGACAAGGCCTCTGTGGTCGGGGTGTGTTCGAGGATAATATCGGTCAGCGCAGCAGGTTGGCACGCTTGGATTAGGTCTCACTGGAAGTTGGACCAAGGACAGGCCCAACCCAGACAGTAAGAATCTAAGATGTCAATCAATGAGGAATAGAAAAATCCCAGGAGTAATCATGCACATGTATTCAACTCGAACATGGATTACATAGAATAAGATATATAGAATGTAGAGATACTGAGTGTAGAAGAATACTTCATACATCTTACGCCTTACGCGTGAAATACTTGTTATCCATATTTCTAGGGCTATTAAACTTGCAATCTCTCCGACCACATTGGATACATAAGTCTCGCTCCACTCTAGCATCTATGCCATAAAAAAATACATTAATATGCATGATCAGAACAAATTTAAAATTTTAGTTTATATGACAAAATTTGATTGATATATAGTATAAGGGGTAAATTATCTTTAAATTTATAAAGGATAGCTAAAATTTATCTTTTAACATAATTACTGAAATACATGCGTCTAGTTTTAATTGATGTACAATAATTTATACATATTTGAAAAAGCAGTTCAAAAAAGCTAGGTCATTTGAAATAGTTCTGGTTAACTCGTTATATTCAATATCGGGGGTCACCAAGAGAGCATTTATGTTGGGGTTATTTTTTTATGAGCAACTGATTGAAAAAATAGCAAGTGTACTATTTTTATCGATGTAGTAATAATGGATTTTATCCCGAGTATCGATCTCGAGAACTGCGTAGGAAATATTTAGTTTTATTATTAAAATAGTAACGCGCTTAAATGGACTGTGGCTAAATAACTATACTCCATTTTTTGTCATTCAAACTCCAAAATAAATGGGCCAAACGAAAATGGGCTTATAAATTGAAATTTCACCTGCCCTTTTTACTAATAACACTTAAATGAGCTTAGTTATATTTAAACATAATAATTTATCGAAATAGTTTTTCTCATTCGAATCTCATGGATCATTGACCAACATGCTTTACGTGTGGGTTTACAAATGCATGGGTCTTTCTGATTTAGAAAAGGAAAAATTTGGGGTAATTTAACTCCTCATTTTTTTATACACAGTGTAGGAATAAACACCTTTGTGCATAATTATGGTTTCTGTTGGGGAGAGATTATTAGGAGCATCAATACACAGTGTAGGAATAAACACCTTTGTGAGAGACACACCACTTATCCACTTAAAACCTTAAGGTGATAGGTGAGTGGGTTCTCCCACTTATATATGCTTAAGTCTCCACATTCCTATCCAATATGGGACTATTTCCCCACTTACTCACACTTGCTATATTATTCCAACAGTTTCAAAACCAAATCATTATCTTGAAAAACCGGTTCATGTTTGTGAAATTGGTCAAATCGGTTTGGATTCAGTTTAAAATCGGTTTTGATTAAAACACAAATTTCAATCGAAGATCTCAAGTGATAATGGACACTGCGATAGAAAATTCAACGATGTTGAAACTATCATTTATGTGAATGTTGTCAGTTCCACACACGCCGCATGCCATTGTTTCTATAAATAACATTAGTTATGTCATTCCGCAAACGCCGCATGCCATCGTTTATATGAAGATCGTTGGTTCCGCAAACACCACAAATCATCCTTTCTGTGAATGTTGTCAGTTCCGCTAACGCGGCCTTTGAGTGTTTCCGGTTCTGAGACATTAAAAGCAAAAAAATTCTAAAAAACATTCACCGATAGGCTTGAGAAAGACATGTAATCTGATTCATATAAAAATGATTGAGAAACTAATATAATTAACTAGTTACAGAGATTAGAAGTGACAGACATATGTACCTTTACTTTAATGAAAGAGAAGATAAACATAAACTTGCCACTACACTAAGATAAATCAGTTTATAAACCAACTCACAAAACGGTATCCTGTTTATTGGTCTTTGATTTCATTGAATCCAAATTTATTTTTTTACAAATGGGTTGGACTTTTTAGAAATGAAACATTTTAGATATGGATCAGTTATGGAAAACCAGTTTTTTTGAACACTCTAATGACTCTCTTCTTTTCTTCACTTTTTTTAGTAGATTTCACTTCCAAAATTAAATATATTTTTTTGTAATAGTATTTGATTAAAACTTTATCAAAAGTGGATGAGGAATTAATGTCACTAAAGTGCAATTTTTTGGAACATCCATTCATTATATAAACATATGAAGAACTATATAACACGAAAGAAAAAAAGACAATAACCATGTACAGCATGCATGTGCAATGGAACTTGTTTACAACTGTCTAATAAAATTACATTGAAGAATCAAGATGGATATTTTACAGATGGTGAAAGGAGTGTGTGTATATATTATATATATATTGATCACCAATTGAAGCTGATGGATTCAAAGTGAAGATTATCAGCCAAACTAGAAGCACAGATTTTGGCAACTTCATGTCTCAATTTACTTGGACCACATACCATGACTCCAACATCTTTGCCTTCACACTCAAACAAAATTTCTGCAAACATTATCAAATTTTGTATATAATTGTTCAATTGATATATTATATAGAAAACTCAACTATATCTACAAAAATACCATTCCTCTACTTACTCATGAGGTCAGGTCTTGCACCAAAATGTACATTGGTAGCTTCCATTAATGATTGATGAGGAATGCTTTCAAGTTCTCTTGTTGTTGGTGTTGAAACTTCTACATTTATTTGCTTATTTTCTAAAGTTTCCTGTCTCTTCCACCACAGAAAAACAACACTAGAACATACACATACGCATGCACAAAGAAGAAACATGTACCACATAGCCTTGAATGTCCAATTATACACTTCACTTGAGTTATTTTCAATTGGATAAATATAGTAACGAGTTAAAATTCCTAAAAGAAGAAGAAACATGATGAAAGATGATGTGATTATTGCACTAAGCCATAACCAGTTATTTGGGCCTAATACAACTGAGATAGGAGAATCTGAGAGGTTTGGCTTAAACCATATTGTTTGGATAGGTTTTTGAGTTTCTGTTGAAGGTTCTTGTGTTTCTCTTGTGATGTAAGCTTCAATTTGTAAATTAAGGTTTGAGATTTGAGTTCTTGAACCAGAAGCTGGAAGCATAAGATATAACATTGTTAGATCAACATAGTTCTTGAAAATACAAACAAGTTGGAGTTTTGGAGTTTGGAATTGTTGTTGTTGTTGGCTTTGAAACATGAAATCTCTGATTATAGATATGAAGGGAGTTATGCCACTTCCACCACTTACCATCACAATCTGTTCATGCCTGTTTTAGAGACAAAATGATGATTACTATATATCAAGAAGAAGCATTTTGGTATAAAAATCAAGTTTACACTAACCTTAGAAATTGTTTAGTTTGAGGTCCATAGGGTCCTTCAACAGAAACATTAAGATGATCCGAAGATGAAGAAGAAAGTTGTTGGTAAAGCTTGTTTGACCAGCTACCCACATTTTTTATGGTAACACTCAGATGATTAGTTTCCATATTACAACTAGAAGTCACTGTAAAAGGGTGCCATTGCAGCTTGGAAACCTTTGGCACATTTATATACACCAAGCTTGTTGGATTATAGTATAAACCTGAAGTTAGGAATTACACCAACATACAATGAAAATTTTGTTAGCAAACTTGTCTTACATGCGACTTACTTATTTTAGTAATAAATTTTCATCTATAGAAAACGGACTCTAAATTGGTTAATGTATGACAATTTTTAATTTGATAAGTTATCTCCATAAATTTTTCAAAATACTTTCAAAATATGCTATACCTTGGAAAATAGTACAAAATTCAAATAACTCAACAAAAACAAACTCATATTCTTCTATATAAATAAACACATAAAATAAATGATTTTATGATGTCTCTTACTAGGGTTCTTGGAGAAGTTGAGCTCAAGTGCATCACAAGGCAAAATGCGAGCTGATAATAACCGAATATTTTGGCGAGACTGTAAGAATCTAAGATGTCTATCAACGAAGAATAGAAAAATCCCAGGAGCAATCATGCACATGTATTCAACTCCAACATGGATTGCATAGAATAAGATATAGAGAATGTAAAGATGGTGAGTATAGAGGAAAACTTCATACATCTTACGCCTTATACGTGAAATACTTGTTATCCACATTGCAAATGCTATTACACTTGCAATCTCCCCAGCTACATTTGACACATATGTCTTGCTCCACTCCAGCATCTATGCCATAAGAAAATACATATATATGCATGATTAGAACAAATTAGTACATTTTTACTCATATTAATCCCTCTCTCTCTCTCTCATGCAATTTTCTAATAAACCTAGTATTACATAACCCGAAAGTAATAAAACATGCGAATAAGAATCTTAATTGTGGAAGCGTGCGTCAAAGATTGTCCGATTTTGATTATTTCAACTTGCGAATGTATGGTATTGATAGGAGTTTCAAGTTGTTACATTCTAGACTATAACATGATTTTGCAACTTAGACTTTTTGCAAATTTTATGTCATTTATTCTTTTACACTACTTGTTCATGAATTGAATCACTTTAGATTCACCCCAAATGTGAGTATGTTTTCCATTGTTCACTATATGCATAGAGTACGTACCAACAATTCTTGTTTTAACTAGATTTTATTATGTTTCATCTTTCATTTGTATTGATTATGTGAAAGCATGAAAAGAATCAAGGCATTTTGTTTGGTTTTAAGTATAACCACCAAACCAAAAGTAACTTACCTTGTGAGTGAGTGAGAATTTGTTAACCCATTTGTGTCTTAGTATTAGGATTCATATTTGTGTTGAGCTATGAACATATACATGAGTAAGTAGTTCATCATGGATTCTAACTTTGTTTCTAAGCCCTTGAACCATCAACCATATATTGTGTTGGATTTTTCCTTGTCTAGCTAGTTCGGAAGCATTCATATCATTTTGTGTAGTTGTATTCAAGTTGGGGAGAATAAATGTTTGTTTGTTTATAAGTATTTTGCTTGAGTTTGTGAAAGAAATAATTAGAAGTAGAAAAAGAAAAATGTGGAAAAAAAAGAGAAAGAAAGAAAATTGCGAAGAAAAAAAAGAATGAGAAAAAGAAAAGAAAAGAGAAAGTAATAAGATGAAAGTCGTAAGCAAAAGAACAAAGAGGAAAAGGTGAAAAGTTTTTGACTGTTTGAAAATGTGGGAAGTGATTGCTCTCATAGGCTTAGGAGATTTTGTTTCGAACCTTTTGTTTTGACCCTCTTTTGTTATCCAAGCCACATTATAATTCTTGAAGTCCTTGTGATTCTTACTTTTGTATTTTCAATACAAGTTTTTTAGATGAATGCATAATTTAATCCATTGTTAGCAAGATTGTTGTGTAAGTGTCAATTCTCTCGTGTTTGTGTGTTTTTCATCTTCCGGTGGATTTTTGCTATGTGTGATTCGTGATTGAACATGTATCGTTTTGGAATGTTTGGCATGACTTTTGTATTTAGTGTTTGTTTCGCGATTATGTTGTTGTCGTAGTTTAGTGGTAAGCAGTATGCTTTGTGTGTACCGTTTTAATTTGAACCATCACATTTGTTTTCGTTTGTAAAAACCCGTTGATTCGTGAATTCTCGAATTTTCACTTTTATTTCCATTTATGAGTTGGTTAGTTCTTGTTTGAGGACAAATAAGGTTAAAGTTGGAGGGAATTTGATGAGTGCTAAATTGTTGTGAATTTGAGTGTAAATAATTAACACTCATTGACTGAATTCGTTCGTTTTAAATTGAATATGGACCATAGAAACAAAAGATGTAATGAGGTTAGAAGCTTCATATTTCCATCTCATGAGAAAAATCTATGTAAACCTACTTTTATCATCAATAACTGGGAGGAAATACTTATATATGATTATTCATGGAGGGAATGAATAAGGGACCCCAAATGTTCATATAAACCAAATTAAATTTTTCAATGGATTTATGATTGCTATTGGAAAAAGAGTAATCTTTTTTTGTTTTGCATAAAAACAAAAATCACAAGGAACTGTAAAATCCATAATCTTAACAAAGGAAACAAAATTATTTATTTCAATCAATTTGTCATGTGAAAAATGATCAAATCTAAAATTCCAAATATCACAATCATCTTTATGTCCTAAATCAAAATGATTAGTATTCTTGATATAATTTTATGGCCTAAGGTGAAGTAATTTGTATTGTGAACATTGGAAGATGATGGTGTGTGTAAGAAGGTAACTAATGGGTGAGTGAAATGTACAATCCACGCAGAACCAATCATCTTCTTGGAGTAAGTATTATGTATCTAGCTATTTGAATTATAAAAATTTAATTAGAATTTAAGATTTTTAGTCAATTTTGGGATTGATATGAGGTTAAAGAAAAATTTAATCATGTATAGAACATTAGTTAACCAGAAATTATGATCAAACAAGATGGTCCCAACAAAATTGATGGTAACTAGGGAACCATTTGAAAGACTTACGGTAATGAGTTTAATTATCTTCATGCAATGAAAAGGTTTCCTTGAAAAATATACATGGTCAGTGGCACTAGTATCTAAGACGAAGATTTTAGGGCTAATGATATTGAGAAACGTGCTAATAATACATGTTCCTGAGTTGGATTTGGTTGTGATGTGGTTCACATTATGAGATGGAAATTGTGATTACCGTTGAAGTAATGCCGATAAAAATTTGTGCTTATCAAGAGTGAAGACCAATAGACTAGAATCTTGAAAATTGTGATGATCCTCGTTGATTTCAGAATGAGAGCCATCATCTTGATTATTGTCATTAGCCAAATTGTTGAAAGTTCTATGTTGTTGTCAACGTGGTGGATAACCATGCTTCTTGAAGCATGTATCTATTGTATGATTTTTCATACTATATTGTGTGCAAAATCGTGTTCCTCTTATTCTACCACCATATTTTCTACCACTTCTGATGTACTTTCCATGAAAAAATTAACTTCCTCTACCCTTAGATGAACGAGAAGGAAAAATCAAAATCTTGGATTCATATAGAGGAATGACAATTTGTCTTTCTTGTTGAATAAGTAAATAATATGGTTTTCAAATGTTAGGAAGAGGATCTATTAACATTACCTAAGATCTAACATCAGAGTATTATCGATCTATGATTTGGATTCACCATAGCCGCTACACTTCTCTGCTTCACAAATCTCAATATTCTTCTATTTTCTTTCTTCAATCTGAACTAATTCTTCAACAATATCTGTATAAAGTTATCTAAGCATCTACTATGGTGGTCGTTCATCATAAAACCTTAATAAAGGTTGTCAAAATAATACCTTAAATCCTTATCATGCACCCCAATGAAAATCCAGCTCTTGTTCTTGGTACACCCCTCATTGATTGCTTGAAATTATCATTGTGGATCAAGATCGATGACTATGGCTTTTTGTTCCAAGAATAAACTTCACTTCATCAATGGAGCCTTGCCAAGACCACCAGAAAAAGATCACGATTTGATCAATTAGGATATAGGTGCAACACTATGGTCATGTCATGACTAAATAATTTGGTTGAACTAGAGATCACCCAAAGTATCATGTCGTTTGAAACTACATCCAACATTTGGAAGGAGTTTAATGATATATTCTATCATGGAGATATATTCATAATTTAAAATATTTAGGAGGAGATTTGCACTTAGAAACAATGTGAATGATCTATTACTTTTTATTACACAAAATTGAAAATATTATGGCAAGAATTGGATAATTTTTGCCCAGTTCCTACTTGTGAATGTAATATCACTTGTCTAGCTTTGCCAAAATTTGGAGTTACAAATATTCTAATCAAGTTATCAAATTCTTAAAAGGATTGAGTGAACATTGCTTTGATACCGTGTGAATTGTTAAAACATGAACACCATTATAGAAGAAAAGAGAGAGCTCAATGAAAAAGTGATTGCATTTCACAAATCTAATATCTGCAAAGCTGTTACATTGTTTATCATTGCAAGGATCTAATATCTGCAAAGCTGTTACATTGTTTATCATTGCAAGGATGAGTATGTTGCTCTACTAACCAACTCCCATTACATTATAACTAACTATGAGAGTTAGTTATAACTAACTAATTGGTTACAAGGTGGTGAGCTAACATAGAGCATAAGTAAACTCTCTATTCTTCTCATTTTCATATTTAATCGTCCTAAAATATTGGTTTTATTGGTGCTCCTACCTCTTCCCGACTCCTCAACACTATTGATTTTCTGTATGATTTTTTAGTGTTTAATGATAATTTGTCATTAAAATAAATAATTTAAAAAAAAAAATACATATTATGGAGTGTGATCAAATTAATTAATAATTTTTGAAGAAATAATTTAAAATAAAAATTTTCTAAATTAAACCATAAGGAGTAAAAATGCATATTGTAGGATCAAAATTTGATGCTTAGACTCAATTCCAATTAGAAAGAGACAATAGATTCCTTGCCACATATATATAATGGGACCTCAAATGCATAAGAAATCACCTTATCATAAACAAGTGGTAATTAAGATTGCACATAAAAATACATACCTCAATCATTTGATTGGTGATGGCCCAATAGATGATAAAACCAATGGTATGAGCAGCAAAAAGAACCATCGATAAATGTCCAAGCCAAATATGGTATTTGATGCTTGACTCAGATGTTAGTCCAACCAGACGCAGAATTGAAGACCCTCTTGTGATTGGAAAGAACAAAAATGCCCAACATACGTTTCCTATGTAACCAAGTCTCAATGATACACTCCTAAACTTTGCTTCCCATCTAATACAAGACCAATCAATAAACCAAATTATATAACATTTGTTTAACTAGTATATAAATTAAATTGTAAACAAACAAATTTTTATTACACTTTCTCGTCTTGTTTGTGCATATGGAGGTGACCAAAACTTCTATATAAGTAATTGGCAAGAGACCATATCAAAAGTGCAACAAACATGAGTGCAAAAAGAAGCTCCATAGCTGAAACTATTCCAAATGGAGACATCACCAGGAATGGACGTTTCAGGTAACATATACATCTTTTTAGAGCACCACCACTGAAACCAAAACATATATACAATAAATGTCTAAATATTTCAAGATTAGTTAAATAAATATTTAGAGGCTAGGTACCTTGTGGAGGGTAACTTTTGTGTTATTTTTTCCTGATGAAGATGAAGATAAATACCACCAAGAGCTCCAATGAACATGATAGGGAATGTAAAAAGCAGGAGATTTACCCCTAAAACAACTAACAATAAATGTATCAATAAATCAACAATCTTATATATAGAAGCATATACATATGTAGATAATTATAAAATAAAAATGAAGTATATAGTAGAACCTAGCTAACCTTGCTCTCTAAAATATGTAGAATCGAACTTGTTTTCTAGGTTGACAATCCATGTCTTGTGGTATATCTTTGTGGGATACAAGATCCAAACTGTTAGCCATCCAAGAAACATAAAAAGAAAAATGATTCTAAATAGGAATATTGTGTGGCTCTTCATCATCATGGACTTTTAGGTACACTTGGGAGAGTCTCAATAATGTGCACTACATCTGCGTCTTGTAGAATATGAAAGGTGTATATATAGAAAAGTCAGACACCACATAGCTATGGTGAGGCTAATAACGTAATTGTATAACTCTCTCCTTCACACAATATCTCATATATTTATGTGTTTTACCATGACTAAAAAGAAAATGGAAAAAGAAAAAATAAAACTTTTATTGTATTGCCCATATTAAACATGGAGTCGTCTATCTTAAAACACTTGAATAAGATGATAGAGTTTTTTCATCTTAACTAGTAAGATTTACGTGCTATTGTATCATATGTGTTCCGTCAATATTTATATTACACGCTGCGATATCTTATTTGTTAGGTTTAAATTTTGTTTTACAAATCATAAACATTCACATAATCACAAATATAAACTAATAATATGTATAAATCTTTACGCATTGATCCAAGTAATATTTTCAAATTTTATAAAAACACGCTTATTTGATATAATATAAAGGCTTAGAACTCGTCTGTCCGTTTATAAAATATTTGTAACTTATTCTTATTTATAAAAATAATTGTATCAATAATAAAAAATTTCTATTTATAAAAATCTTTTTAACTTATTTATGTTAATTAAAATAACTTTATGAACAATAGACTTTTCTTATTTGTAAAAATATTTATAATTTATTATCGTTTATAAAAAAAATTGTATCATCGATATACTTTTCGTGTTGATAAAAATATTTTTAACTTATTCCTGTTTATAAATATAGTTGTATCAATAATATTTTTTCTGCTTATAAAAATATTTGAAATTATTCTCGTTTATAAAAATAATTGTATCAACAGTAGATTTTTCTTCTTTATAAAAATATTTGTAATTTATTCTCGTTTATAAAAATAATTTTATAAAAATAATTATATAAAAATATTTGTAATTTATTTCCGTTTAGAAATATAATTGTATCAACAATAAACTTTTGTTGTTTATAAAAATAATTGTATCAACAATATACTTTTTTATTTTTAACAAAATATTTTTTAAGTTATTCCTGTTTATAAAAATAAATTTATCAATAGTGGACTTTTTTTGTTTATAAAAATATTTGTAACGTATTCTCGTTTATAAAAAATGGTATCAATAGTATACTTTTTGTGTTTATAAAAATACTTGTAATTTATTTTCATTTTAAATATAATTTATATTAACAATAAACTTTTCTTGTTTATAAAAATATTGATAATTTATTCTCGTTTATAAAAATAATTATATAAAAATATTAATAATGTATTCCCGTTTTTAAATATAATTGTATCTATATTTTTTCGTTTATAAAAATATTTGTAATTTATTCTCATTTATAAAGTTTTTGATGATTAAAGTTATTATATACTTTTTAATTAAATTAAATTTATTATTATTAAATGAAAGTTAAAGCATTTTATAGTTTTTCAATATGCTACAAGTTTAGTACTACACGTAATGTCTTTTAATTTTTAGAAAATCTGAATCACTTTATGTCTTTTAATTTTTTAATGACTTTAATACCAATGTTTTCTTTCAATGTTCATTATGGTTATTATTTATTTAAATATATTATGTGAGTGTCTCAACATCATACGTATTTTGAACTATTCTCTTTTAACTTCTAGTAACTATGGTAAAAGAGAATAGTAACTATGGTATTTGGTAAAACAAAATCATGATTTAGTTAATTATGATTTGTTTTTTAATATTGTTTTAATGTAAGTGTTCAAGTTCAGATTTAATTTTTGAAAATGTTAAGTTTTATTATAGTATTAATATTTATAAATTGTCTATTTTATTTTATAAAGTAAATCAATTTTGTACTTCCTAAAAATTACATACTAATAAATTGCATACTAACCTGATCAGACTTGGACCGTCACGGCTGGCTCCGAGCTGAAGTTTTGAACGAGGTGGGGGGTACCTGCAAGACACTCCGATGCTGAAGTGAGTAAGAGCACGAGCATGCAATAGTAAGAGTATGGGTAGAATGATGAATATCTGACCCTCTGAAAACAAAGGGTATTTATAGCCCCCAGCGCTGGGCCAAGGTTCCTTCATTGGGCCGGACAGGTTTGGCCCAATGGAGGAACTGCCAGGTTCTACGTGCGTAGTGGGGACCCGCACGTGGTCCCCTCCCTGGATGTTCTGCGTGAAGTGCGGGCGGACAGAGACGCGGTCTTTTCGGAGTCTCGTTGAGAGTGCAGTGGACTGAGTTTGCCCTAGGAGGGGTGCTCGAGGTGAGGTCAAGCTGGACAGTAGGAGGTCGAGCAAGTAGTCCCAGGGGCACGTCGGGCACGACTGTGATCCTTTGGTCGGCGTGGCCCCAGCAAGTCCGTTTGGATTGGGCCTTATCAATGCTATTGGGCCAATCGGGCCCAGTCCAGAACAGGAGCCCCCCAAGTCGTGGTTCCTTGGGTTAGGAGCCATGGCTTGATCTTAGATTGCTTCCGTATCGGGGCCTCGTGCCCGGGTCAGGGACGCAGCTCCTCGCGGGGGGTACTCGAGGGCTTCCCCGTATCGTGCGCGGGAGCAAGTCTTTCGCGGGGAATGCTCGGGGATTCCTCAACGGCGTGCGTATGTCGAGCACGCGTGGTATCTTTTGGGAACTGTGCCGCCACCCTATGAGGGTAGGGTCATTATTACCTAGGGGAGCCGTGCGTCGAGGAGAGAAACTCTGTGGTTGCCCGAGGTGACGTTTGGTATTCCACGTCATCACTATAAATAGGATTCTTGGGCCCCATAACGCGTTACTACTCTTCGCGCTTCTGCTGCTGTTGTTTTTCCAGATTCTCATAGCATCGCCGCGATCTCCGTCCCCAATTCCTTTCCTCCGTTGCTGAATCTACTCCTTGATTCCAAGTAAGTGACTTATCTTCCCTGTTTTTCTGTTTTGATGCATGAGTTTCATCGTTTTAGACGTTTTAGGGGCTGTGCGCATGGGACTAGCCCGGTAAATTCATGTTTAGCTCGACAAATTCATGCTTAGGGTCAGTAAACACATACGCGTGGCCGGTAGATACATGGTTTAGGTTTATAATCTGCAGTGCTGCCCGGGGTCTTCATGATCCAGGGCGCCCAATTCATGATCGTGCCCGGTATGCTCATGGCGCTGGCTTTAGGCTTTATGATGTTGCTCGCCATGTTCATACCCCGGGTCGGCGTATTCATGAGTGACCGCGTTGTTGGGTTAATTAGGCGGCTTGAAGAAGGACCAGTCGAGGTATCTGGAAGTCGGGGAGGCGACTACTATTTATTTCAAACCAACTTTGTGATCGTGCGTGGGGCGACGTGGTTTGTCGCGCACTCCATCTTGTCCGTTACGACGAGCGTATGGTTTCGTGCCCAATTGACTGGTTTCCCGTGCTCTGTAGGTAACCATGGCGGACGAGCCGTGCTCTTCTGGACGCCCCGAAAGGGAGGAACAAAGTGCCGATGAGGCTGTGAGTTTGATCGACACCGTGGAAGACCCTCTGTTGGACTGGGTGGGCGCCGAGCCTAGAGGAATCGCTTCGATCTATAGTCGGCGTAGCCGAAGGCCATACGCTGTCCTTGAGGCGAGCCACGGCCAGCCCGATTTTCAAAAGAATTTCGTCGTTACACGACCGACCTCCACTGCTCAGATTTGCTCGGTGTTCCCCGAGTACAGTTTCCCCATGTACGAAATTGCATTTAAAGACCTTGGGTTGCAGCTGCCCTTCAGCGACTTTCAGGCGGGGGTCTTCGCCCATTTGGGGCTGGCCCCGTCGCAGCTACACCCGAACTCGCTCGCCTTTATCCGGGCGTTTGAGCTGACCTGTCGTTTTCTGAGGATCGGGGCGACTATACCTCTCTTCTTCAGAATCTTCCATCTGCAGCGCCAGTCCCGGGGAGGAAAGCACAGCTGGGTCTCCCTGAAACAGTCGAAGAGACTATTCAAGATGTACATGGACTCCGTGCGGGGTTTTAAAGACAAGTGGTATGTCGTGAGGCCGATTACCAAAGCCGCTTTAGAGTCCCTGTACAAGGAGGAAGCACCGGTAAGCGACGATGACGGGGAGGCACTTTTAGACAACGACGGGTACCCGGTGTTGGGACGCACGGCCAAGTTCCCCGTGCATTGGATTTCTAGGCATTACGAGCACGGAACTGGGTATTATCATACTTCTGCGGGAGACATGGGTTCCGAGGATGAGAAAGCTTATGACACTCTTTGTCGGTACGTTGATAGCTTCTACCCCGCCAGGTGGGCTACGAGGGAGGGGGAAGATGTCCTGGACGAGGAGGGTTATCCGACATTCGAGGCCCGACCGATCGATACTAAGGCACTCGTGGAGTGCCAGACATTCGGGCAGGCTGCTCGTCTGCTAGGTCGTTTATTAAATTTCTTTGCTTGTCATTTGTCTGCTTATTTGCTCGACACTAACCCGGTTTTTTATTTTGTGCAGGTTCTATGGCCGGGCGACGGGAGAGACTCTTGAAGCTGTCTTGTGACCAGAGGCGGGGCAGGAGGGTGGTGAAGGCTCCCCAAGCAACGAGGATGGGCCCGCCGCATAGTCCGGGCGCTCCTCATATGGTGAGGGTGGATTCGTCGCCTAGCTCGGGGGCCGCTTCGGAAGAGACCCCAGAGGTCCAAGAGGTCGAGCCACATGCCGACCTGATACAAAGAAAAAGGAACCGGGTGGAAAGTGGGCCGGCGGTCGGCGAGGATTCCAGCGCCGTAAGGTCCTTCGGGTTGCCCCCTTGCTTCAAAGAGGAGGGTTTCTTCGAGGGGTTCCCTTTGTCCGTGACTGCCGATGAGGCTGAGGTTATCAGGAGGATGAGTAAGGAGGACCGGAGGAGGCACCTGGCCGCCAATATGGCCGGGCTGGTGAAAATGGCCGAAATGGCCGTTGTGCTGTCCGAGGAAGGGGAGGATCCTGTCCGCATTGAAGAATTGGAACAGGAGAAAGCGACCCTCACCTCGAGTTCACGCAAATTAAGGACTGCCCTGG